ATAGAGATTTAAAAAAGAATGTCTTTTTTTTAAATAGATAATAAAGTATAACATGTATGATACGATAATCTTAGAAAATAATCTTGATGATCTTTCATATTATTAAAGGTGGATATTTTCTGTGATAGTACTTGTACTTTGTTGTTTAAGGATAGTTATTAAAGTTACAAGAATGATCTAATAATTTAGTAATCTTTTTGACATTGATATAGAATATTATCAATGAATTAAAGGATTTATATACTACATATTTACAAATTATAGATTAATATTATTTATAAATAATATTCATTAAATATTAGACTTTATCAATTTATGAAACATTTTACTCATTCTTTGTGCAACATGTCTATAAAAGAAAGAAAAAATAAAGAAAATGTGTATATTCAATTTTATACAAGATATATGAATTTTCTTTTATACTTCCTATTATCTAAATAATTTTTTTTATCAATTAGAATTTGATAGTTAATAATTCCTTAATCAATGTTCTAAACTTTCTATAAATTTTTATTATTTCAAATTTTTAAAAAAAAATTATCATGATTTTTAGTTGTGCCAATTAATTTTTATTACTTATATATTTTATAGTAAAATTTATTTTAATTAGGTTATTCTAGACCTATACAAAAATTACAACAAATTACTAACTCTATTTTTTTGTATATGAAATTTGGATGTCATCTCTTGTATTATTTTGCCATGATTACTTTCTATATTTCACAATTGTGAATTCTTTAAATTTTGAGGTTTAATTTCAATAAATATTTTAATAAAAATTGAGTTGATTTATAGTCACTTATATTTAATGTAATCTTTGATTAAATATCTATTGTTTTACTTTATTTTTCTTTTTCTCTTTTTATTTTACAAAAAAAAATAATAATTATGCACTTTGATAATGAAAAAATATTATTTATTTTAAAATTAAATTATAATCTATCATAAATTTGGAAGGTTTTTCTTTTAATGACAAGCTTTCATATTTGCTTATAAAATCATAGAAGAACATTTTGCTATAAGTCTTCTTTGATTTTACAAAATTATAATTTTCTTGAAAAATTTTAGTAGGACCAATGTTTAATATTAGACCTAAGAATAAATTTTTTCGTATATTTTCTTTAATACACTAGCCTTAATTCACTCTAAATTAGTCAAAATCCAAAAAATCTTAAACTAAATCCAATGATTTAAATTAAGCATTGATTTGAAAAATAAATCTCTTAAAAAGTATAAATTCTATTTTGATATATTATCACAATCACACTCCTATATTGTCTTGAACTACTTTTAAGTTAACTATCATATTTGCAATGTAATTAAAGTGGCTCTTAAATTAGCAACATTTTGCTTCACATAAGATAAACCCTTGTCATCTATATCACCTTGCCTAATATGTAGGTAGTTCTCGATTCACTTGAAAAACCAACTATTTTGATTAAAACAATATCCATGTTATAACTTCTTATTTAAGAATTATGTACATGTATGTATATATATATATAATAAAAAGAAGCAAGAATTGAAAATATTCTTTACATTTTTGTAGACATCCTTATTTATTGGTATATTGACTAATTTAATTGATATCCCATTAAATTTTGCTATTCTTTTATGAGCAATGATCTTCTATGCATTTGCTAAAAAAATTAGATATTACAATATAAATCAAGTTAATATATATTTCTAAAAGACATTAAAATAATTTAAATGGTTTGCTTCTATTAATACTAAAAATAATCATATCATGAAATGCATAACATGTAATACAATTGTAAAGAAAATAAGAAAAATAATGAAAAATAAGAAATAATCAACAATGCAAATTCTATCATTGTATTTTCAAAAAATGTCATCTGAATGATTGTGAAGTCATCAAACAACAAGGGATTTACATCACAAATAAAGGCTGTGCTATTGATGGAGGATGGGAAGTATGAAGGGTTTTTGATCCACCACAAAGGGTCTGCAGTTCCAGTTATTTCACTTGAAACACTCATCCAGTCAGCATGCAAATGAAGGCAACAGTCTATCGGTGGTCACCCACATGGAATGAATTTCTATATATTTTTATACATAAACTCCAAGTGTTGAGTGCCTTTTTTTTCTTTTTCTTTTTTTTTCCCACACAAATGGGATATACCATTGCTTGAATCAAATGAGTGTCAGTGACAACATTGAGTGTGTTTGTTTGGTAAAGAAGAACACATCTTTTGTCCAAACCTCTTTCACTTTTGGACACCAAAGAGATTGCAGAGAATACAATTTGATGTTTTATGTAAGAAAACAATAGTTTTTTTGAGAATTTTTTTGTTTCAAGCTAAATGGGTATGAGATAATGGTGGTTCAAAGAAAGGTGTGTGGTTGATTCTAGATGGTTTTTACACTTATGATGCTAAGGTAGAGTACAGAGGAACTACTATACAAGGCTCAAATCATTGTACTCTACATTTCTGCATTAAGGCTTTGTTTTCAAATGCTAAAGAAATCTCATTTGAATGGCAATATTGTGATGATTTTGTTTGTGGGTGCAATTTTAATCAATGAATTGACATTGGATTTTGAATGTAACTGAAAGATCAATATTAAATTGAATATAGGATTTTGATGATACATTACACATAGTGTTCAATTTTAAGTGCTTTGATTTAAATCAAAGATTATAAAGAAAAAATACATATATTTGGAAAAAATGCAATGCTATAAGCTATATAAAAAATAAAAATAAAAATAATACTGTGCCAAAAATGAAATGATTGAACATAAATTAATTTAATAAACTCACATGTTTTTTTCTTTTCTTTTCTTTTCTTTTCTTTTATTGTAACTAAGTAACTTCTTAATAGCAAAATTAGTGTTGGATTTCAACCCTCAATATATATATATATATATATATATATATATCTTTCTGAAGCATCAAGCAATAAAATCATTGCATAAGCATTGTATAAGATATTCTCTATTGATTAAACATCATTGATGCTTAAAGTAATACCAACTAAACTTTGATTGGAAATTACTATAAGTTTTATGCAATTATTCTTTAGGCATTGCGACCTCATCCATTTGCATATAAAACGTGTAAAGTTCAAATTATGGAATGTGACATAGTTCACAATAAATATGAATAACATGTCTCATTAATTATGTATGAAGGTTCCATAGCAGTAAAATAACAGAACTTGTAGTTGAATAACCACACTACAAATTATGTTATCAATTATTGAAGATTGTAGCTTGCAATATTTGAGGCTCTAAGAATAATATCAATATTATTATGTTCTTCCATATTAATTTAATATTTTTAAGATTGTATTTTTTAATATATTTTTTCAATTTTAATTACTATCAATACAAGAATGATAAGAAGAGCATGCAATTGTTTTTACATCAATTTTTTCATAAATATATAAGTTTTAAATTTAACTTTTTCAATGAGACTTTGATAGAAATAATTCAGATTGTAAAATCCAAATTATAAATCTACTTATCATAAGAAATTGTAAATCTAATTAGTGTGTGTATACACACAAAATTAAACATGCAATTATATGAAAGAATAATAATAATAATAATGATAATAATAATTTACAATAATACAAAATATTCCACTTCGAATATTCCCCTGGCCCACTCAACCGGGGCGTACACAAGCCTACACAACATGAGTGAGTTAAACGATGATGATCTGAAGAAGAAGACGAAGAAGAGGAGAGGCTTGTTGTTGCAGGCGGGATTCTTGTTCATTTTGCAGTTCCGAGGAGAGCTATGGAATCCAACAGCATCAAGACATTGCGGAAAACGACCTGATCTTAAGCTCTTGTGACGGTGCGCACATTTTTTAGATTGAAGCATTATCATTTTATTAGTGTTGCAGACTCGACCCGACAACTACCTTAGCGTGACACGAAGTTGTAGCATTAAGTGTCCATTTCAAAGATCGGATGTATGCGGGAGAGTTTTCATGAGAAATGAAAGGTGATTACTGTTGTGGATTGATTTCAGGTAGTTCAAGGATGCTAAAGGAGTGAGGAAATTTTACGTTCGACTCTTCGGTGAGACTAGAGATTTAGGGTTGCGGAACTGTCGTGGATCGGAGAACTAGTAGTTCTTACTTCCTGTGGCAATTTTTTTCTGTGAAGAAGATTTAATTAGTTACCTCGTACTGAATGGAAAAATTGAAATGAATCATTGGGCATGTGTTGCAGATACACGCAGCTTTTGGAACAATTCGAAGGAACATGTTAAGTCCAGCGAGTTCGAGAACTGTCCCTCTCCATGTTATCATGCATTCTGACCGCCTTCCCATGCCGATTGGTATCTGATGAATTTCTTGGAGGGCTTTTCTTGGAGAGCCAAGTTAAAGATATATCAGAGCTGACATCTCTTGTATTAAATTAATTCCATTCTCTGGTTTCTCAGTGTCTTCGTTCATGAGGATCGATGTTGTATATTCAGCTTTGTTTCAGGAACTCCTTGTCGAAGTTTACGTGTCGGTCGTTTAGGAGTTAGCTATGGCTATATGGCTCTTTTGACTCATCTTTATGTCTTCTCAAGAACTTGCTACAGTCTCGTGGGAGTTAGATTTCTAGTGTGGTTGCTTTCTGTGCATTTCAAATTGAGGTTTTCTTTTTCTCATGTTCAAACGAAGTTCGTCTCTACTGATAGAAATCAGAGCTAAGATGACATTGCAAATCTTGCAAGTTCGAAGGGCCGGATGTGCAACTGTCTCTACCTTCAATCACAAAGGCTTTTTCGAAAGTGCCACTAGTTTTGCACGAATGTTGCATTTGGCTGCGGATTAATTGTGCCCTGGATATTGAGCTAGCAACTCCCTTTCACCTCGATTTTTGTTATAATGAGATTGAGGGCATATTTCGGGTAAATTCAACGTCCGAACCGTTGAATGAGCTGTGTTTCCGTGATGCCATGGATTCCGCACGATGCACATACCTCGAGTTCCTATCGTAGGTCATTATATGCAAGTAGATTAGAGCGGCTCTTGTTTTGTTCAAAAAAAAGGTCCAGAAAGTTGCTCTGCATGGCAGCACTCCTTGCAGCGGTTATTTTCAAATTTTTCGTCCACAGTTCTCTCGTTTGCTGTATCATACGGATTCCAATGTCATTTGACGAGCCCTTTTCTCTTCCTACGATTTTCATTTATTCTCTCGAAAATTGTAGCTACAACTGTAGTCCGACAAAGTGTCCATTGACAAATGCCAAATGTATAAATCACGTCCAGAGAAATCCAGCGGACTATGAAACAGTGGTTCGTGATTTCAAAACGTAATGTACCTCTCTCATTCACGAAACAGCTCCGTCATCATTCCTAGGGCTTGTGTGTATTTGGTAATTACCAAGTCGTTTGCAGTCCTGAAAACAGTAATGAATGTCTGTGTTATGAACTGCATATTCGTGCGGCCTCGACTGCCACAGCGATCACATCTTGTGTGCAGAGTTTCCACATGAGTTGCTACTGGTCTACATCTTGATGGCTGCTGTATACGGCAAGGAAGTTGCATCAATTTCACGGAGCTTCATTGAAGTGACTGGACCCGGTGTGACCTTTTCTACCATAGAGATGCTTTGGCAAAAGTTCAGGTATGCTTGCGGATACATCTCGAGATGTTAACTACCCTCCCCTATTTTCTCACATGCCATTTGTCTCTCTGACTCAATGAAACCCTAAAGATTCGTGATCAGTTGGTTGCGTATTTCTTGCTAGAGATTTAGCTCGCGACTGAAATACGCTTCTCCAAATTGCCGTCACCCCGAAGATTGCAGGTGTTCCATAGTACTGGATTACTATCACCAAGCTCGGAACTCACATGCCAGTCCATGTAAAAAAGGCAGGAGAGTTCCGCGGCAGCAAGGGATTGCTGGACGCTACCAATCGATTGGGGTACCGGCCTGCACATCATCTGTGCACATGTTGATTGAACGTCAGGAACGATGTACACTTGGCGGTAGAAGATGCAACCATGAATTCAGTGCCGCCGTCGCATCCCATCATACAATTATCGACTTCCCATCGAAGCGGCCATCCTGACACTTAAGGACGACCGAGTGTCTCTGTTGATTGTCATTGGAGCGGTCAATGTTGCTGATTCTAGTACAGTTTGTCGGTCTCATTCAGGTTAGTTGTCTCCACACTCAACGCTTTGTTCTTGGCCTTTTCTATTAGTCACAAAAGCAACGCTGACATGGATTTTTCGGTGAAAGCAGCTGAGGATGGTGTCTAGTGGATGGTGTCTTAGGAAGCTCAACAGATTTATCATTTGTACAGAATTTGAAGGGATACTGAGTTAAGCAGCTGCGGCTGCAATGCGCTGCAACCAAGCAATCAGAAAATTGGAGAAAGATCCAAGGACGTACATTACTGACGAAATCTACTCAAATCTAGGTAGGCAAAGCGTAAGGAAAGAGGAAACCAAAAGCAGAACTTTCCCGAGAGAATTCCGCGTTTCATGGATTCACTCAGACATCAACTGCCGACGCCATCGGTCATGCTTATTTCTTCTGATGGATGTATGTACTCAAACTGATCCGAGCAGTCCCATGGATCAGTTGCTACATTTTCAAACTCAGCATCTACGGGTAGATTCGGTCATGCTCTCGAGACCTAAACTTCAAGGGACATGTGTTCCAAGTCGATGCATCATCGCAGTATTCGTCAAATTCCAGCGGTTCCCGTTAACGACAATCCAAAATCTGCCTCAGAGTTTGGAGGGAGAGTGTTGGACGCATTGTAGGAACCGACTACATCAGTAGCTGCAGAAGTCAAGAAGCCATGGAACAACCGGCAGATTGTGTGAGGAGTTGAAACAAGTTCCACCCTGTAGCTGGGCCCATGGTGTTGAAACTCATGACACCATTGCTTAGCCAGTAATTATTCCCGCTTTTCTCCTTCAACTCTACCTCCTCACTGTCTCGACGCCATTGTCTTTTACGACAGCAATCCCCCAACAGTCCTCTGAGCCCGGAGGAGTCTGCACAGCATCTCCACCAGGTGAGGAGGTTTGTGACCTTCAGTTGACTACCTGAACTTCATTCGTATTATAATTAGAGTTGACCTATTCACGCTAAATATCTCGTGTAATGCTATTTGCACCACAAATATCTCTGGTTGAGATTCTACTGACTAATTCTACTGGTGATGCTATTTGCACTGAGTATCTGAGTTGATACTTTTCACTCTAAATATCTTTGCTGATTACTAGTGTCATGCAAATCGGCTGTTGGGTTTTGAAAGAAATTGGGTAGGGTTTTCCCCCCTTTTATGGTTAGTTATGAAGTGTGTATCCGTCGAAAGAAAGAAAAAAGGAAAAAAAGGAAAGAAAAAACCTCAGTCTTAAAGATAACGTTTTACAACAATGGTTTTTCACTTTTTGTTTTGATGAATAAAAATAGTTTTGAAAGAGTATAGTATACTTTATGCAATAATAATTTCAAATAATAACAATGACAACAAGAATATTAAGATTGATGTGAGTATAGACTCTTGAAAAGATAAGTGGTATTCATTAAGATGGTCAACTTTCATGGGGGGGGGGGGGGATTATGAAATAGAAGTTACCAAAAGCACCCACAAAATTAAATGAAATTTGTTATTAAAACAGAGATTATTTCTTAAAACGTACAAAAACAATAAATGTATATATAGTTAAAGAAGTGTCAAACTTTGTTAGAGAGGTCTTCTGAACACATACAACATATTGCTGATTTTGAGCTTTTCTCACCAATTTGAATGTTTATGCAATTAACTTAAGAGCAATTATTGGAACATTAACTATGACCAAGTAACATTTTATTTGTTATTTTATTTTGTATAAATATGTGAAAATTTTGTGTTTCATAAAATATTTTATACTGTAAATTTATGCTGTGTAAAATTAATCCAAAACAAAATTACTTGATCATCTTTTTGTTTTCTTTAGGTGGAAATCTTACCTTCTGCCTGTCTTGCTTTCACAAAAAGAAAATATTGCTCAAATTACTTATATATTCTTTGTGCATTTGGGTGCAACCAACTATGTAAGTTTAACTCTGATCTATTTGTGAGCTATTTTTTTTGACTCACGAATAGATCAGTATTACTAACAATCAAAAAAATTGTTTTGTAAAAAATATGATGCTTAACTTGGATGCTCTCACTTGCTGCTTTTCCCATCAATTGTAACCACAAATTTATAAAAAGGTTTATTTTAAACTATGAGAAAAGCACCCATCTCATTTTATTCCTCATCCTCTTATCCATTAAAATATGATTTACAAAGCTTCTCTTGCTTCTCACAACATTAAAGCAAAGAGAACTATGAGATGTACCAAATAGGATAAAATGAAAAAAGAAAAGGTAGGGAATAACTAAATGTCCATGATTGAACCATGTATTGTTGACATTCCAAATTTCCTAAAGTAGAAAAACTTGATGTAATGTGAGTACAATGTCCACCACAAAATATCTGAAATTAGAAAAAATGCATAGTATAATTCTATAAACAACATGTTCTTGTGCACGGCATAATTTTTCAATATATATATATATATATATATATATATATATATATCTGTAAACACTTGCATTTCTTTTGTTAATAAATATACATCTACATGAGTTTTCAAAAAACATCACAGCAATCCTCACCATTTAACTCAAGCAATAACAAACTAAAAATAAATATATTCACAATTTCAATCCTCCAAAAAGTGGTAATGTATTCATTCACATTAAATCATTTTTCGCAAAGCAAATGGAGTCGCTACTAATTAACTCTCACTACTACCCCCGATTCACACACAAAACCCACAACTTTAGTACCGTGACTCCAAGTCTAGCTGGCCTTGTCAGCGTGGACCGAATCACTTCACCCACCGTGCTGCTCGCCACCTGGCTGGTGATGACAAGGATGGCGCCGTACACCACCCCCACCTCATGGTCGGTGCCCCCGTTGACCTGGCACTTCTGCGCAATTACCCTCACGACGCACATTTATCATTCAACTCCAGGCACTCATCCATCTACGGATGACATTCTCTTGGATGACACTGCTCATGAAAATATACTTAAGGGACTTCCTTGATATCCAATAAAAATTTGAGCGCAAAATGACATGGATGGAATTTCTACATTTCCTCAGAGCTGTTTTAAAGCAATTTGAAATGTTTAGTTCACAGTTTCTGTACTAAAAGCTCACCAACAAATTTGCATTTAATCTTGAATTTGGTAATTCATTATACGTTATCAATTTAACGTTGACTTAAAGAAGGGTTGAAGTGGGTGCTGGGGATTTCTAATATTATTATTGTTGTTGTTGTTATTATTCTATTGTCACTTGCAGGTGTTACTGTTAAATAGAATTAACATTTTAAAGTTTTATTCTTGCTAACTTTAGAATGATTTCTCCTGCAGTGAGGCTCATTGCATGTAAGTTATGTGGTGGATATTCAAATGAAACCAGTTTTGAATGTTTTAACAACTAGTCTTCATGTGAGCTAAATGTAAAAGTCATTTTACACAAAATAAATTAAAATTCTATTAAACTGAATTTTAAAATTTTAATTCAGGGTATTTTGAAATGTCAATTCTTCAATTTTCTGTAAAAATCCAAAGTTAAACAACCTACTGTTTGAGTTTTATAACGAACAACCTACTGTTGTGGTTTGTTTTACATAATTAAATTATTGTTATACATTATGACTGGTTCTACAATTTTTTGTTAACTCTTTTGTTTTGTTAACTCTTTTTTTTGTTCCTCTGAAAATTTAAGAAATTGAAACTCGCTTTAAATTGAATTATTTTGATGAGATACTGTACTTAATGGTTAATCAAATATATATATATATATATATATACATCTATGAGTTCTCTGCTCAAACTGTGTTCCCTTCGTTTTTTCTTTATTCAAAATGATTATTAGTCAAAATTTATTTAAGAGTGATTTATTTTTTAATCATGTAGTTATATCTATTGTAATTCATTTGAATGAAGTTTGAAAACAGTTATCAATAGAATTAATGAAAAATAAATAAAATGAAAATAATACTAATCATGAATGCATAATACTGACACTTAAAATTTCGTATTTTAAGAAAAATTCAAGCTATATATATATATATATATATATTTGTAAAATCTAATTTAAGAATTTTTATTAACTACTGTAAGAACCATACAAGTATTCAAAGCTTGGTTTTATGGATCAAGTTGTGGATAATTAGTATTTGGCAAATAGATTGGATATTTTAATTATTCAAATTTGAGAAAGAAGCAATTAAACTAATTTGTAGATTCTAATCTAAGAATTTGATAATTTATACTGTGATAATCAAAATATTTTTTGTTGTCTTTACCAAGTAAATTATTAGATGTAATATAGAAAAATACATCTTATATATATATATATATATATATATATATATATATGACTTGGATGACTACACAAATAAAGATAAATGTTTAAGTCATTCCTAGGGTCTAAATTATTTTTAAAAATAACTATGATCTTCTTGTATATAAAATTGGCAATTTTAAAAGACATGTTTTTATTTAGTATTTTGATTTCTAAGAAAACTTGTGGTGTGTTTAGTGACCACTAAACATCATAGTTATTTTCATTTTAGATTTGGTTGTGTGGGCATATACAATCCAAATTTCACTTAATAATTAATTTTCTAAAAATAGTTGTGATTGACTTAAATTGTTTTATTTTAAAGAAGCATTTCCTTATTAAAACTAATAAAAAATTTAACAAATATTGTAAAAATTTGATGCATTTTTTTTGTCACAAATAGTCTACATCTGAGCATTTATATGAATATAGATATATATATATATATATATATGCATATTACTTGCCAGAGTGATTATGTCATAGTGAGGTGAGAGCAACAAGTGGAAGATAAGAGCAGCAGTGATAGTATCACCAAAAAACCCGGAGGTATCTCTTGAGTATGAGCGGAGGAGGCAAAGTATTTAAGGACTGGGGAAATATCATAGCAGCCAATTAAGAATTGGCAGAATAAGCACAATATTATCAGGAAGTGAAACCTTGGAATAAAGTAGTACTGGGCAAAGGCCATGTAATTCCAAATTTTAGTAATAAACTAGCTCATTTATAGATCATTGTGTGTTATTGGTTGCAGTTTTCAGAGAGTTATACCTTGGGCTTGGTTGTAGATCCTAAAGCTCAAGTAACAATTTCAATTTAAGTTACTTACATAAAACTCTTGTGTTTTAATTATTATTGAAAGCTCAATACCATTAAGTCTTATATTGACCTCGATTACAAAGGCATTTATCTTTATAGATAGAATAAAATATATTTGTTATAATGGATTGTATTCTTTCTTCCTACATCACAGGTAGATAAATGAATAAAAAAATTAATATAGATTTTATTTTTAAATTAAAGTTTTTATTATATAAATTTATAATAAAATTATTTTTAAAATAAATAAATAATACATACACAATTTTTTATAATAAAATCATAGACAATGATTTTTATGATAAAATTATTTTTAAAAAATTGTTGTATAAAAATCATAGACATGAAAATTAAAAAATTAAAATTAAAAAATCATGTCTTTTAATGTTCTAAATTATTTCTAAATACACATACTTATTATGGTATCTGTGTAATTTCTAAATAGTCCTAAGTATTTAAATAGTCTAAAAGTTTAAACCATTAAATTACATGGTTTAGTTTTTTAAAATAAAAATCCTAAAGTTAACATGTGATTATATATGTATAATGTGTATGCATGTATTTGTGTATACATGTGTGTTTTTTAGAAAATTATTAAAATAATTCAAAATCTAAAATAAAAATAAAATAAATTTATATAATTATTTATGTAAGAAATATCTTATGTTTGTATTTAAATAAAAGGTTGGAAGTATATTACAAAGAAGTTTTTAGCTACTAGTATGTACAAAGCATTCAACAAATAAATAAATAATAGTAAAGTGGCTTATACTTCAAGAATTAGAATTAGTCAACAACTACATTCGAACTTAAATTGAATTATGTAATGAGTGCTAATACATCATAAATAAGAAAATAAGTTAGAAGGACTTTTTTTTTTTTTTTTTTTTTTTTTTTTTTAAATCTTAGAATACTATCTTAGAAGTAATTGGAAAGTGGTTGGAGATGTTATGGAATTGTCAATAATAGTGGATGGCAAAACAATTATACTAATAAAATTAATAAGAGGTACAATAACCTATTC